CTCCCATTTAGAGCATTTCTTCTTGATTTGGTGCCAATAGCTAGGCAACCTACTACTGGCTTGGAGCAGAAAACTGAAGAAAAATGTCTTTTGTTTGCTCACTCAACATCGGAGTGTAGGGTGAAATCTTTCTTAGGTAAAACTGACAGCACTTTTTTTCCCACTTAAGTGCCAGAATTAGTTAGCTTAAACAGTCTCAATCTGTTAGTGCTGTGCCTTGAAAGAGACAAAAAGCTGGTCGAGCATGATGTGATAACTTTGACTCCTTAAATCAGTAGCATGACTCTTCGAGGCCAAGGGCAAAACAGACAGTAAGAGGACAAAGCTGTGCATTGGACAGCCTGGGTGCCATGGCGCCTTCACCTCGTCACAGAGGGCCTTAGGAACTGACCCTGTCTAATTCCATCGAAGCTGCACTGTTCACCAGCTGTGTGGTGTTGGGACTTGACCTGCCTTCTCAGTGGCTCTTGTTCTTTGAGATGTGTATAATAGTTCCGACCTCAACAGTATCTGAAGCAACACGCTTGTGAGGCCTCGTCACCCACCTTTTGCCCAGAGATGATGGCTTTTATTAAGACTGTGAGCTCTGAAAGATGTAAGAGCCTGAGGGCGTGGAGGACATGGAGAACAACTGAGCAAGGCTCATATGAGCTCAGAGACTGAAGCAGCAAACACAAGGCCTACTACAGTCTGCCTTATGTCCTCTGTGTATTTGTTATAGCTTTCAGCTTAGTGTTTTTATGGGACTCAGAGTAGGTGAATAAGCCAGTCTCTGGTTTTTGTGCCTGCTCTTGGGGCTCTTTTCCTTCTTTTGGGCTGCCTTGTCCAACCTGGATGTGATGGTTTTTGTTTTATTTTATTATATGTTATTGCTTTATTTGGTTATTATCTCTTAGAGGCCTCTCCCTCCCTCCCTTCCTCCCTCCCTCCCTCCCTTCCTCCCTTCCCTTCCTCCCTCCCTCCCTTCTTCCCTCCCTTTTTTTTTTTTTTTGAGACAAGGTTTCTCTGTGTTGCCCTGACAGTCCTGGAATTCACTCAGTAGATCAAGCTGGCCTTGACCTCACAGAGATCCACCTGCCTCTGCCTCCCAAGTGCTGGGATTACAGGTATGAGCCGCCATCTGCTGGACTCCCTAAGCGTGTTCTTTTCTAATGAGAGACAAAAAGGGAGTGTGTCTGGAGGGGAGGGAAGGTGGGAAGAGGAGAGAGAAGAGAAACTGTAACCAGGATAGATGAGAAAATAATCTATCTTCAATACAAGGGGTGGGGATTGAATAAAAAGGAAGGAAGGAAGGAAGGAAGGAAGAAAAGAAGGAAACTGTGAACTCTGACACATTTTATTCTTCATGTCCCTCCCATCTTTGATGCTTCACAGTGATTAAAAAGTGTACAATGGAAAGGGGGGAAGACAGGCTATTTTATTTAATAAAATCATGTAGTTAATTAGACCATTACTTAAGAGGAAGATTTGATATGGTCAACATGGTGGCACATGCCTGTGATCTCAGTACTTAGGAGGCTGAGACAGGAGTATCACAACTTCAAGGCCAGCCTAGGCTACATAGTTAGTTCCAGATCAGTCTGAGCTATATAAGCAACAATGGTCTAAAAAAAAAGACAAAACAGGTGAGGAGATTTGCAGGGGTTCCAAGATGTGCCAGGCACCCCTGTGGCACCCTGGGCTGTCCAGCATTACTGAAGGCTGTGAGCAACATGACATTTAAAAAGTCTGAGAACCCAGGGACTGTTTGCCTGCAAACTACTCCAGGCGCAGGCTACAAAGATGTATCTGTATTGGATAGACACTTACCCACATATAGTAGGAAAAGTATGGCTTATGTCTGGAGCCTTTTAGTTTAGCCACTTACCAGCTTTTTAAGCTTGGGAAAGTTACTGCTTCCTTAGCAGCAGCTTATTAATTTTTAAAATTGATATGATAGTATCTACCTAATAAAATTATGATGAGGACTAAGCCATTAACACATAATAAGGACTCAATAAATAATCCCCCTTTCTGAATACAAGTTTCGCTTTCCCAAGAGTACAAATGACTCACTTGGCAAAGAAGGGACAGTAAACACACCAAAATATAATCCAGGACAAAACTGATTCACAGGGTAGCTGCCATCTGCTTCCACCCTAAACACCCTCACTCTTCTAGGGCCGGTCCTGAACCTGAACCTTGCAAATGAATGCTGCTTTGTGCCTGCTCTTCCCACCACAATGAAGAGCTTTTGGGTGCAGATTACAGGACTAGGGCTGTCGTTCATAGTGCATACCTAGCATACATGAGGCCCTAGGTCCATCACCAGCACCAGAGGAGGGCATCTTTCCAAGACGATTGTACACCCATATTTATTGCTGTGCTAGTCACAATAGCCAGGAATTGGAACCAGCCTAGATGTCCATCAACAACAGAAGAATGAAGACAATATAGTACATATATGCAATGGATTATATTCATCTGTAAAGAAAAATAAAACTATATTTTAGGGAAATGGAATGAAATTAAATTATGTTGAGTGCAATAAGTCAGATTCAGAAAGACAAATTCCATGTTTTTCTCTTACACATGAAACTGAGGTGTGTGTGGTGTGTGTGGTGTGTGTGTGGTGTGTGTGGTGTGTATGTGTGTGTAGTGTGTGTGTGAGATATGTATGTGTGGTGTGTGTATGGTGTGTGTGGTGTGTGTGGTGTGTATGTGTGTGTAGTGGGTGTGTGATATGTATGTGTGGTGTGTGTATGGTGTGTGTGGTGTGTGTGGTGTGTGGTGTGTATGTGTGTGTAGTGTGTGTGATATGTATTGTGGTGTGTGTGTGTGTGTGTTTATAGTGTGACTCCACAAGTCATGAAACTAAAAGGAAGAGGGAAGGAAGAGACAGATCTTAAGGGAAGGGACCCCAGAGGAGAGGGAAATGGACTACATATATAAGAAACCTTAAGGTGGTGACATCTCTGGGAAACAGGAAACTGGCCAGAGCAGGGCCAGGGACCCAGTGCAGGTAGTGAGGGAAATGATAATATGCGTGAAAGTGCCAAGCTGAACCCATTGGTCTGTATGCTAGCCCACAGAGAGACTGAGGCACACTCTAGAGGAGAGATGTCTGGGCTGCACTGCCCAACGGGACCAGTTTGTTAACTGTAAAAAGTCACAGAGCATCGCCACCTCCTGAGATGATGCCTCCCTGATTGTCCTTCTTGTGCACTGTTCAATATAAATTTGATAGAACGAAGGGGCTTTGTCAGGTGCACACTGCCCATATATGAAATTATGTACCAGAACATTCTAGAAACGTTATGAACCACTAACAGTGTTTGCCAGGAGAGGTTAGAGATGGGGGCGGGGGGTTGGATATAAGATCTGAGTAGAAATGGTCTGAGCTTAAATCCTAGCTCTCTGCCACCAGAATATACTTGAGTTTGGACAAATTTTACATTCGTTGGGATCAAGTTTCTCTACCTTGCTGAAGTGGCATCTGCATCCTGGAGTTGTTGTGAGGATTAAATTGCTAGCAGGAGTAAAACAATGCCTGACATGTAGTAAGAGCTTAGGGAACATCCATGACTTCCCTTAATTTAAGTTGTTGTAAGAGCTCAGGGAGCATCAATGATTTCCTTTTTTATTTAAGCTATAGAGACAATGCATGTGCTTTTCCTCCCAGCCCTAGGCATTTCCCAAATCGGGATTTTCTCTCTTGCCTATTACTCTTACATTTCAGCAAACTGTAAAGTATTTTCCTGAATACCTGAGACCTGGGTCAACTGGATTTTCTAGTCACTTACATCGAGGTGCCTTTTATTACACAGTCTAAGGTTGGAGAGTTGGTAGCCATGGTTGCTGAGACCCAAGAACTGAAATTGGAGTTTCGGTGGTGATTGAAGTGAACTTTGTGTTCCATTTCATAAGGCAGAGAAGCAATTTCATAAGAAATTGGGCAAGTGTAGTTTCTGTAAGGACATCTTGCCTTCCTATGAAAACCTTGGATTCACCCTCCCCATTCCTACCCTGACCTCTGGCTTCTAGTTACCTCAATATTGGGTATTTAATTTTCTCTGTAATATACTCGGTCTTTTCAAAATGTGAAATTGCAATGCAAGGCAAGTATTTGAAAGTGTTTACAATACTGGAATGACTAGATTTTTCTTGGGCAAAGAAAGTAAGCTGGAGGGAGTAAATGTATTTGATAGTTGTATTAATTTCTGAATGTCAGTGGGTGTCACGCATCATCTAGCTTATTTACAAATTTATTATTCTAAAAGAATGTTGTAAAATTTCAAGACCAGAAGGAAAGCTAAAGAGAGAGCTTTTGTCTTTTCTTCATACCCACTCCTTACAGAGTTTTCAACAGGAAATCTTCAGGATTTTTTTTTCTCATTTTGAAGTCTTCTATTGCCAGCAAATAGCAAGTCTGTATAATATAGTTGCCAAGACATTGTCAAGACCATGTAGCAGAGAGAGAGAGAATGTGCAGACAGGGAGACAGTGACACAGCTGAACAAGGAGAGCGCCAGGGTCTTTTGGAATTGGAAAGTTTAACTGTGTTTTATAAGTGGTTCTGCTAGCAACTGTACCACCCGTCCTCGTGGAACTTTCTCACAGGGTCTTTTCTCTCCCTATCACCTTGCTCAGGACTGTTTGATTTGCCTGCCGATTATACCCTAGTCTTCATTCCTACATCAATCAAGTCGTGTCAAAACCAGTTCCTGCGTTTGAGTTAGACAAAGACATTTTTCATTTCCTCAGCCCAGAAATGCTTTTTCTGCATACACTACTTAAAGGCCTGGACTCAACAAACCCTTCTACATAATAACTACAAAGACAGATACATCCCTTGCTCCTAAGCACTGTATAAATATTTGCTACTTAAATAAATTATTCTTGTCAGACTTGAGTAGCCACCAGCCAGATACTTGCCAATTGTCTAGAGACTATTGCCTTAGTCTTAAAAGACTCAATTTTCCTTTCTCTTTCTTTCTTTTCTTTTTTTCCCCTCCTTTCAGGTACAATCCTTGGATTTGCCCTCCGACCATACAAAATGAGCTACCGGGAAGTCAAGTACTTCTCTTTCCCTGGGGAGCTCCTGATGCGGATGCTGCAGATGTTGGTCTTACCCCTTATCATCTCCAGTCTTGTCACAGGTACTTGCCGTGCACAGGATTTGCTGTGTGGTTTTGGTTTTGTTTTTGTTTTAATGTGCTTATTGCAAAAGAATGCTTAGAAAAGCCAATGCTTTAGGTTTCTGCTGGATGCATGCTCTCTGTTCTAGAAAAAAAACAAAACAACAAAAAAACCCTAAGTCCCTTCGAAACGATGGAAAGAAGGGCTTTTAGTAATGCATGAATGATTATGACTCTCGTATTTTTACCAATCACAAGAAGAAATGGATTTAAACAGCCACGTAACCTGGTCTGCCTCCCAGTGAATGAGGTACCCTGCTAAACACCACACAACCCGCCTTCTCTGCCCACAGCGATGTAGTTGACAACAGCGTACAACAGGTCTGTTTTCTCACCCTCTTATCCCACCCAGATAACATCTGGTTGGACAGCCTATTAGCTATTGATGCAAGAATGCTTGTTCTCAGAGCCACCAGGACATGAGCGGGAGCCTTCTTGGAAGCCTCATCAAGAGGTAATGCCCAGCACACACTCACCAACTCTGCTGCCACCAACACTTGTCTTTTCCTGGTGTGCCTGCATGATTTCCTTCTCCAGCTTCCCCGCCCATCCCCACTACCTTTTATGCTGGTGGGAGAATGGGGAGGGGGTGGGAGATGTCCCCATTGATTTCCCGCCAGGGGAAGCTCTGCAGGACAGGATATCTTTACTGTGACAGTGAGGGAACAGCTTTCTCCTGCATGGGTACAGGTTGAAGAGTCATTAGCTGCGTGGTTGACAAATATAGATGGGGCAAGAAGTTGCAGGAAAGAAAATGTTACTGTACATTCCTTCCTGCCCACTCCTCTCCTTCTCCACAGCACATCTCTGACCAGGAGAAAGAATTTCCAAAAACACTGCCCCCAAGGCATGGTGCCTGAGTCTGTAGCTAAGGCTCCAGACCTCAGGTACAATTGACCCTGTCCCCCTTTTCCAGCTGTGGTCACTGTCCTTCCTGGGCAGGTACTATTGGCCCTGGCCCCCTTTTCCAGCTGTGGTCACTGTCCTTCCTGGGCAGGCCAGTTCACCTCTGTGTGTCTTTCCCCTTCTTCTCACGAGTTTTCAAAGAGAGTTATACTCCTTCAAGCTATCTGTATAACAAGAACTTCATACAGCAACTCACCTTCACAGAGCAACTCAAAGGTCATGGGGCAGCATTCTGACTCCTGCATGCCTTAGAGGGCTGGTCATTACATGCACAGAAACTATGTCAGAGCACTCCTCCAGGCTTTGCAGATCTGGACTGGCTACCACTTGCCCAGGGCCTAAAACAAGTAATTGCATGTACACAAGCTCATAGTGGAGGATAAACTGCCCACAAACCAGTCTTGTCACCCTTTAGGGTGCCTGTTTATGAAACTGGACTGGTCAGTTGTTGACTAGGGATAATTATAGGAGCTAGAATTCTTATCGAAGAAGCTGTATCAAATGTTGGCCTGGGGCACATTTTCATTTTACTAGAAAATTTTTAGAGAGAGAGAGAGAGAGAGAGAGAGAGAGAGAGAGAGAGAGAGAGAGAGAGAGAGAGAGAGAGAGAAGGAATCTGCAGAAATCCCTTACAGGACAGAGTTCATCTCCAACCTCTTACCGAGTGAAACCGTGAATCCCCCTGCATCATTCCTAGCAGCCAGCTTGAGAACCTGCTGTTCCTCTGGACACACTGGTGCACCCTGGATTCCTCTCTGCTATCTCTTCTAGAGTAGACTCCATGTTTCTGCTTTCTCACAGTTGTATGATTTTTTTTTGAGACATAGAAACCCTTGTACAACACAGTTAGAAAAAGCATTGCTTCCCCTTAGAAACAGCCAGCCTCTCCCCTGAAGTGGAATTCCCTGGTGTTTTAAATACTTAATAATCAGCTTTATTAAAGGAACAAGAGTGTTGGTTGAATAATTTTTCAGGAAAAAATTACTCTTATCTAATCTCTTTCAGTGCTTCAAAAGAAAATTTGGGCAAACATTGGGGAAACTAGCAAGCCTTATAACATGGCTGTTACAAAACAAAAACAAAACAAAAAAGCAAGTTGCAAGCAACCGATATAACATGAACTCATAGTATAACGTAGGTGCCAGTTGAGAGCGCTGTCACATGGGATCATTAAGAGTCTTATCTCTTAGCCAGGACTGGGTCAAGGAAAGGGGCCTGCGGCAGAGTGTAACCAAAGATGTTTTTACAGTGTTGTCTCCAAAGAGTAATCCCTGAGCTGCGCAGTCATCTAGACACTTGCGGCGATCAATTAAAATGAATGATTGATTCAATGAGACGTTCCTTTGTGGTTTTAAACACAAAATATTCTAAAAGTGGGAATGTGGAGGAGGAAATGTTTGCAAATCACACAGACCTCCTAGAAGATCCCCTGGGCTTTACCAGGAGATGTTACTGGGGAAATACGTTGCCCTAGGAGGTAACGAAGTGAGGCTCCATTATTCAAGACTGGAAAAGCAACCTCAAAAGCTCGCAGTCATCAAGTGGGTGATGTGTGCCTATGAAGATGCCCTTTCAGGCCACTCTTTGTCTTCCTACTTCGATAGTCATGGATACAGAGAAATATTTTCTTCAACAGGAGAAAGCGTAGTGCTCAGAGAGATGATTAAGTGGAGGGTGGCTGCACTGCACAGTAATGTGGACGACAGTGGCGAGGAGGCTGTGGAGACCTGAGAAACAGAAGATTTACCGGTTTCCACCAGTTGCTACCGACACAAGCGCAAAATATGGCCATTTTTTTTTTCAGGAGAATTTAGTTATACAAAGTTTTTTTTATTTTATTTTAACTTTATTTTATGTGCGTTGGTATGAAGGTGTCAGGTCCTCAGACACTGGAGTTACAGACAGCTGTGCGCTGCCATGTGGGTGCTGGGACTTGAACCCGGGTACTCCGGAAGAGCTGATAGTGCTTTTAACCACTGAGCCATCTCTCCAGCTCCTAGTTATACAAAGTTTTAAGAGATCCTCCCAAGTTTTCGGTTTTGATACGTTCACCAAACAGGACAGTGTGGCCAAGCAAAGTACATCAATGGGTTCAGTCAGCCCTACTTATGTCAAAATTCCTGTTTGTGTATCGGTGCCACTGCTTGAGAAATGCCACCACTGTTTCTGGACCTCTTTCGGGCTTTTACTGGTTTTTCTGTTACCTCACTCACCTGTAGGAGGAAGTCTGTATGCCACCATTAAACATGTGACTTACTAGAGGTGCATACAGATGAGGTAATAAAAGGGCGGTTTACCACACCGCTAACCACACCCACTTTAGGCATGATTAAAGATGTATATGGCCGGACGTAAAGACGTATACGTACGTACGTACGTAAGCAGTGAACTACGTCACTAGCCAGGCCCACTTTTGGGCATGGCTAGGGGACGTTACGGGGGAAGTCATAAAAGACAGCACACAGGAAGTCTCGGTCTCTTTTCCCGGAGTCCGGCTTCCGGTTCGGCAGCGGGAAAACTACTTGGCTCATCTGGGTTACTTGTTTGGTATCTTGTGAGTAATTTCTACAATAAATACTTAGTTTTATTTTCAGTAATTGTGTCGATTATCGTTACAGCGTCCTTTGGAGCAACATTCACCCATTGGTAATCCTAATCTAAACAAAGCTTAAGTCTGGGATGAGCTGCTGAATACCATGTTCGTTGCTATAAAAGAAACAGTGATTGTGAAGGCTCTACGTCTTCTGAGTATGGTCAGATTGTATCATAGCTGTTCTGTTTTGTATCAGACAAGAGCATCATGGTGAGAAATCAGAGCTCACACTGCCATACAAGAATTTTCCTGTGAAAAATGCTTCACAGTCTTGGTGCTCTTAGATTCAAAAGGCTTGGGGTCTGTACAAATGGAAATGAAGTTGAATACAATAATTATTGCATTTAGTTTTGTAACATTCCAGAGAATATACTGTAACAGTTAGAGCCATTAAAGCCCCATTTTATTTTATTTCTTAAAGTTTTATTTATTTGTTTGTTTATTGTGACATGAGTAAACAAATCTAGTAGCATGCTGGGCAAGTACTCTAACACTAAGCTACATTCCCAGAATAATTTAAGAGAGATCTGCAGCAGATTTTTATACTTGAAACACTAGTTTTTGTGGGCTGAGGCATTAATGCTCCATTCTTGTCCTGCCTTGAAATCCAGTCTTCCCAAACGTCCCCTGTGTGTATTAGCATTCCAGAAGCTCTGGGGAGAAGCTGGGAGGAAGCCCAATGGCTACATTTGTACTCAAGTACCTTTTTTTTCCTTTTATTTTCTTGAACAAGAAGAATATGTCTATGCCAACACATCACACAATAAAACAAGGATTTGGCACCAGTTTCTATTGATTTGGTCAGGATAAGCAGCCAAACTAGCTATTTCATGCCAGAAATATGAGTTGGTTTGGCTGGCTCGGCCTGACTTAATGCATAGGATAATAATTAAATGCCATGTCTGGTTATAGTGAGTGCACATAGCTAACCTTACTTCTGAATCTTTTTCAAAAATCGGTGCTTTTTCGTTTTTGCATTGTAAGTATGCATTTCCCTGTAATCACTCACCACACAGAAAACTTTACTGCCAACCCTAGTCTTCTGGAAGAGAAAAGCATTCTGCAGACAGTCCCTTCGGAGTGGGGCTTGTTGTAAGTGAAAGAGGTGAGAGACACATTAGGCACAATTATGAAAAGCAACATTTTGAAGCCTATGTTGGGGCATATTGGAGGTTAGATCACAAAATAGACCAAGTTCATCTTGTCCCATCCATTCATTCATTCACTTGCAGCTATGCTCTATGTCAGGCTAGGCACTGGAAGTACCTGAATACAAAGTCAAAATCCCTAAGTAGATGTGTACTGAGTAGGAAGAAAGATGATCCCCAAATTCCTCAACTCATACAGTTACAATATACGTGAGCAAATTCCTGCTCAAATTTCACTCTTCTCTATGCCCCAAAAGAAAGGCAGTTTGATTGATTTTCTTTTTAATTTCTTGGTGATTTCATGTATGTATACA